TCCAATTTTGTGAAGAATGGTCAGCGGGCGACCTTAACACCATGTATACTTAACCCGTTTTTCACGAGAGGCTCATCAAAATAGTCAAAGTGATATAGCTCTAAAGAACCTTATGCATGCGGGCTGAAAGTGGTTACGATTAGGCCAAAACGTGAGGGAACCCAACGCTCATATCCCTAGCCATGGATTTCTCATTTCATTACGAACTCCGCGTTATGAAAGAAAGGCTCTGTTTTGAACTCTCTTTTCACTCAGTATAGAAAACCAAAATCCCTTGCCTTTCGTAAATAATAATTAAATATTTTAATGATATAAATTGTTATGGTGAGTATCTTTGTTTTTAATCGACTTTTTTCTCAGTGTGTTGACGATGGTCTGCGCATCTTCAACTATTGTTCGCATCATCGAGGATATTCTTCCGCGTATTGAAGATGTTAGTGTTGTTATATTTGTCTCGTATCGAGGTCGGATTTTTGTGGTTAATGCTCTTTCTGTTGCAGACTCAAAACGACCGAGACAAATTCACGATCCGTCTCTTGGTACACCAATCGCATGCTGGCGCTCTCATTGGTAGACAAGGATTGAAGATCAAGGAGTTGCGTGATAGGACCAATGCCAGAATCAAAGTAAGCAAATGGTGTTAAAGTTGCAAATGGACGACTAGATGTTCGTCTATATGTTGTTGAATACGAAAGATCACGTGTTTCAGGTATTCCAACAGTGCTGTCCTCAGTCCACCGATCGTATTGCCATGATCTCTGGTGATGAACGCAATGTGATCGATGCCGTGGAACAAATTGTTGAGGAACTCAAACAGATTCCAATCAAGGTGTGTAGAGCTTCGAAGTGTTGCTTTACGGAAGCACTATGTTTCGTTTACAGGGACCCGTGAACCCGTACACCTCCTTCAACTACGATCCTGTTCTTGCTCCCGATTACGGAGGTTTTTCACCTTCATATCCGGCTGGAGGACGTGGTGGACCGCCACTCAGCCCATTCGGTACATTGTATCATCGTTGTATGGCTGATAATGCATGCAAATAAGTTTTCTCAGATTCAGGCTCTCGTGGCCGTCCTGGGATGGGCGGGCCGATGCCACTGCGTGGTGGTGGAGGTCTTGGAGGACCCGATATGCGTTTCGATCGTGGACTAGGAAGAGATTTTGATGGTAATCAAGCAATTAGCAGTTGATTTGAAAAAAAAAACTTAGCAGTAGCGCAAGCATCGTATTAAGCTGTGCAGGCGAAAAAGTTTCACCTTTGTTTTGCAGGTCCATACGGTGGGCCAATGGGTGGTCCTCCATACGGTGGCGGCATGTCTTACGGAGGTTATCCAAGTCAAAACTCAATTCAGACTACTCAGGTAGGATTTTCCTTTCATATAAGAACACTTAGCAGTAGTGGAGGAAAAGAAACTGCGCGGCGCGATGGTTAGCCCATGAGCATTAAAAGGCCCAAGGTACCAAGCTCGCATAATTCGTCTCAGCCTATATGAATCGGTGGCAGTTCTCTCGAATAAAGACCGGAAGCGTCATCGTTCGTTAACGGGTGAGTTTTTGGACGTATGCGTATTCTGTTTTAAGACGGAATTGATCAAGGGTCTGGCATCTACACTCGTCTACCGAAATCACGGGAACGTGTCCAGTGCGTCTTTTCTGCCCAACGTGTGCGTACGTTAGGATGATGAGCAAACCGGACACGGAACCCTCTTTAGATTGGGTCTCATGTGGACAGTGGTCTGAATTGGTCTCGAGGTTTGGAATTCGGTGCAGCATTCCCGGAACTCTTTCTTCTAGCTTTGCAGTAATGTAGTCCCCATTTCCATTTGTCTCGAAGAAGCTGACTCTCGGTCGCAGATCGATGAATTCTCATCTTCAGCAGTGACTGGAAAAGCGGTAAGTGGTGGTTACTGGATGATAGCCAATGTTCCCGATCAATGTCAATTCTTCTGGAAGTCCTACGTTTGCACTGACACCCTTCGTGCATGTTAAGCACCACTGTGTTGAATGAAAGCAGTAATTTGAAGTCTAGCCTAAAGCTTCTCAAGTCATAATGGTTGAAACATTGTGGATGTTGCTAGTCACATCAGTTACTTTATATGGGTGCTTATTTGATAGACGAGGTGGGTCTTTTCCTGCTTTCTAACTTTTAGAGGATGTAGTGGGGTGGTTGTATTATGCGCGAATGGCGATGGGGTATTGTGCGAGAGGATGAGAGGCATAGTGCGTCTGGGCGGATCTGCGACGCTATGTATGTACTTTTGATAGTGATATAAAAAAAAAGTAACGGGTGTGAGATTGCAGAGGATCGCTGAGCTCTACTATTGGCTTGTTGGAGTGGATAGAATTTGTATTGGACTGATTAAACAATTTTGCTTCGATCTTTCGCAGGCAAAATAGTCGTCAGCTTGGAATTTTTGCGGAATTGAATTGTTTGCATAATGTGATGGGGAACAAAGGGATGCTGACATCAAATTGATTACTTCAAATAGGAAATTGTAGCGTTTTCTTATGCTGTTTCAGTAATTTCATGTAAATTTTTTAAAGGGGCCTCATTCGGGAAAAGGGGAAGAACACGTAGATGGGAGGGATGGTGGCTAGCAACATACCTTCATCATTTGAAATGGCTAAACGAAAAACTCCTTTGAACGATCCCCTTGTTTTCGGTCCCACCCCAACCCCCATTCGGCTTTGTCTCCTGCGGCTCTATTCTCGTTGTCTTCATGACCCGTTTTAGAAAAAGAAGTTTTATCACATTGATGGTTCCGTCAACCCCTTCCCTTCCTTTTCAAACCTCACTTGGCGATTGTTTTCCTCTCTCCGGTTTCCCTTCCCCGATTTTTTTCAGTCCTCCCATCACAGGCAACAGCAATTCTTCACGAATCGTCAACACGAGTCGGTTTCCAGCAGCTGCTCACGTCCTCACATTCTAGTGGGACAAGACGTGGACTGTGCAATCGTCGATTGCATATTGTGTGCTCTGTGTTCTTCAGTGTGTTTCAGTATTTACTTGTTACTCCATGCGCTCCATGTGTTTCACTTCATAATAGGACGACGCGCGGCGTAATCAAATGCCCGTATGCTCCGCCCCATCTTACCTGAGTATTACTGACGGCATTGAATACCTGGCTGCGGTTGCCTAGCTGATAGCCAATCACGCATTGTGCCGGCGAGCTGCCTACGGCTCTATTGATGAATCTACTGGCGTGCGACGAGGAACCTATTCGGCACTGTGGACCTGGATTGTAAATCTGCCCTGTACTCTCAATCTATGTAAAGCGTACGCGTCATCAACAGCAACCGGTTCCCGTAAAGCTGCTATTCATTGAGCACATATTGCATGAGATGGAATGAATGTACAGCACTACCTCTGAATTATTAATTCTCACTTTGGCAGTAATTCACTGCGGTCGAATACGACCAGGTACGCGTTCTGATGGTAGTTTTTAGGTGACGATACCATCGGATCTTGGAGGCACGATCATCGGACGTGGTGGCGATCGAATCAATAGAATTCGCGACGAGTCTGGAGCCCAGATTACACTGGAGCCATCGACAGGCCAAGAAGAGCGCGTGATCACCATTACTGGCACTCAGGCACAGATCCACGCCGCTCAGTATCTTCTGCAGCAGTGGTCAGTGACACAGGCTTTGAGTTAGTTCGGGGGTACTTGTGTCTCCTGCTATGTGAGGATGGTCATCACGGGTTCGTGCTGAAGAAGGTGCAACTTTGCGCTGCTACGACAACACTGGCCGGCCATAAGAGCAGCCCAGGGAAGTCAAGCTTTGCAGGGGTCGCATGCTGTGCTACTTTTCAGCTATGAATTATCTCAGAGGGACATGGAAGATAGTTGTGACACTAGATTAGGTTGTGGACTTGGACATCAATTCTTCGGTATCGTCTGTTTTCTTCTGCAATCCTCTTACCATGCACTGACTGCTGTTGCAGTGTGGTGATGTCTGAGTGCGGAATGTACTACAAGAGGGTGTACATTACAGCTCCACGCTCTACAGGTTGTTGGGATTATATAGGGACGGTTTTAGTTGAAGAAGGTGGTACGTGCTCTGATGAAATGGGCCGCTGCAAAGTGCCTAATCATTGAAGTCTAAATAACGCCAGCAGTCTGTTCACGTAATTATTGCCAAGGCTTCAGGTGCACCGACATTCAAATGTGCTGGAAGGGGTTTACGAATTAAAACTGATAACATTGTGGGAAGGAGGAGAGACAAAAGGTGGCTGGTATCGATAATTCGGGAAGCTGTATCCGCTATTGATGTCTTTCTGTATTTTCCCCCTAGCTGCAACTGTGCATGCTGAGAGTATCGTGCCTTTTCTCCTCTTATTCTGATTGCATAGCACTCCTACTGAAGCGCTTGTTTTCTTGGATTGCGAGCAGCTAAAGTGTTTGGCGTGATAACTGCACTGACACACAACGTGCTCCTTTATGGGAATGCCGAATGGAAGACAGGAGATTGCGTCGTTGCACGTTCACCTCGCTGCAATCCCCGTCTATCCGATCGGCTCACTTGGAATTGATTTCTTCTTCTTCGTGGCACTCTGTCTGAATGTCAAGCTCACCACTATTGCACCGTATTTGATTGTGTAGTACAGAGGGTAAGTTGAAGGAGCAAGTATAAAGTGAGGTTTCTATTTCGGACAAATTACTATTGCGACGGGGTCGTCAAGTCTGTAATTTCTCAAAACCGGTTACAGCAGTCATAAACGAAGTGTAGCATCATAGTGTGCTTTTCGAACAGGTAATTTAGTCGTTACAGTTCAGTAATTTATCAATGGTAACATGATTAGTTTTGACCGTATACTTGCTGATAGCGAGGAAGTTAATATTAATTATTGGTTATAAGAGTTTCATTCTCGTAGTGGTGGTAAGTTTGAAGGAAATTTTAAGTTCTGAGCATTTGAAAAGTGTCTGCCGAAAGATTTAAAGTTTATTTGTCATTTCCAGCGTGCGCCAATCGGCCGCAGGCCGGAAGTATATCGAGCAGCAGCAAGGTGGACACCATAGTCACCATCGTTGAGCTCTGAGCCGACGGTCCCACGGACGTGATCCTCACCCAATGTCCGCATTATTCTCCATAAAGCGGTTTTATCCGCGCTTTTCGTCTATTCAGTGGTTATTATGATATTTAAAGCGTTATTTGTAGTGTTTTCTTTTGTCTACCTATTTGATAGTCCACCTATTTAAAGACGTAATTAATTTCTGTTCGTGTTTGTTCACCTCCGTTCTCTTGTTTTCCGTGTCACACGACACACTCTGGACGGAGTTCGATGTCGGCTGTGTTTTTGTTGAGCTATCTGTCGATCTCTTGGTACGACGTGTAGCGCTCGCGCTTTGGCCTCATCACCCCTCACCCATTACACCAGCTTGACGCTGCCGATTTGACCGCTCTTGTCCGTGTGTCTGTTGTCAGTAAATGCAGCGAGTGTTGTTGTTCAGTAATGTGAAATAATAAAGCTGCTTTTGCAGAAGAGTTTTACTGTTGTGGGAAGATGTTATCAAACGATTTCGTATTAGATCGAAACTGTAAATGATTGATGCGAGAATGGCTAACTATGGGCGTTAACGGAAGGTTCGGTGATTCCCTAAGTAAGCCTCAATGAGACTTCCGGAGTGTCGTAGGGTTAATTAGATGTTTATTGTACGTGCAGAAATATGTGAGTGTGTCTGCAGGGTTGTTGACACAGCTTCCCAATCGGGGTCGTGCTCTGCTTTTCCGTTGCTCATATGTAGCCACATTGTGAACCCTGTGCTAACTTCTACGGCTACAATTCGGGTTAACATCCTCCATCGGCCAAAATGTGCTACTTGCTCTGAGAATTGAGATACAAATAGCAATGTGCACTCACCATGGAAAGTAAAGAGGCATGAGAAATAGTTAACGCAATTTAGTGTTTAGTCAAAGTGTGAAGTGCTGGTTTTTGCCGAGTTATGTGTACAGCGCTAGAGATCACCGGTTTGGTTGTCTGGAAGGTTACCTCAGGTGTTGAGCTTGAGAATCCTGACAACAACCTAATTTCGTAGTGTGTTGACAGCCGTGAACACATGTGACTGCAGCGATAACTCGCTTCAGGCACATAACAGATCACTCTTCATATTGAATCATTTTTCGAGATGTGCTACATGGGATATATGCACATGGGCGGCCAAAAGAAAGACACTTCAGTCTACATCTGGAACGGCATTAATCACACTTTGCTGAATTCAGACCGAATGCTCCCAACTGGGAAGTCTATCAGTAAACGCCATATTAGCCTTCTACGCGGACTCCATCCGAAGATTGCTACGGAACCTTGCTGAACGGGTCAAGCTCGACGTGGTCTTCAACGGATCGCCGACCACTAGGATCTTATCCAAAACGGTGGTCGGGAAGGGTCTTGCATAGTCAGAGCTATAGATAGATATTGAAAAACTATCCATACGTGTTCCGATGGAAGAAATTGTGTAGCTGCATCGTGCTGGAGCGCCTTCTTGACCTCAGCGGTGATGACAGATGGCGCCATATTCTAAAACAATGAGAGCAGTGAACAGAGGCTTGCATCTGTGTATGGAGGAATTTTTCAGAAACATTTTGCCGAAAGACTTCCATCGGCCACGGCAACCTGAGCGAGTAAAAGGCAAGCCTCCGGATAAAATGGGTGTGTAAGAGCGTTCATTGATGAAGCTGGAGGTGAATAGTGGTCTGGAAAAGAAAAAGCAAAAGAAACCTTCGATTACGTCCTGAATAAGCAGCTTGCTGGTGGAGTGAGCTTGTAGCTTCTTTTTTGCGCACTTTCAAGCAGCAAAATGGACACGTTACAACGTTTATCCGCCTGCCTACAACGCTCGGGGGTGGAATAGGTGAGCGCGCCTAATCCCGGAAAGTACCTTCGAAGCTTGCTCATCTGCGTCATGAGCAAAGTGTCTTTTTTGGCCACCCCTGTATCCACGCGTGATATTGATTGGCGATGAGCCAATCGATTCCCACAGCTTGCTAGAGTCTCGTCTGTAGATTGCAATCTTGAATAAAAGGGGAAAAAAGCATTAGCCACTAATCAGCGGCAATCTAAAACTCGGTATTTGAAACATTATTTGGAGTTTTTTTGTTTATGTACTTCTGCCTTGCTGCGACGCAAAGCGGAGCGCAGTCTCACATGAGATGTGTCTTGAAGGCAATGTATGTATTTGGTGTCCATGTGTTTTTGATGAACAACTCTGTGTGGATAAACTCGTGATTCAGGGAGACCTTGTATACATAAGTAATCTTATCATTCAGCCGGTCTACGATGTGTGACGTTGGGGAGAGTTTTCCCGGATTCCGACAAAGACAGTCGAAATCAACCTTCCGCTAGTGCAGCGGCAAAACTCATGGACAGAAATAGATCACTCGCCCTCAGAAGGCTCATCGACAGGCGCCGATGGGGCTTGTCAAGGTTTTCTCTGCATTGAGAGGAATGTCAAGCACGCTGCGGCCTATGGTTCATTTAGGGGAAGTTACCCGGCGTGGACATCTACGTTCAGTAGCTACGAGGCCCCCTCCCATTCCGGGGTATTACGTAGATGTAGAAACACGAAGGAATGCAAGTGGAATTACCCTTGGGGACACACCTGCTGTTTCTTGAAAACTCCCGGAATCTACAATCGCTGATTGGATTCACATTATGCGCGAAAGACTTTTGTTGAAACAATAGCATTCTTTCATCTATCTATTACAACTAATAGTGGGTGGCTACAGGTGAGGTGACTCTTCGAAAGGGAACCTATTGTGATGCAACTCCAGCTTGAGATAACAACGCGCGAGTTCGTTTGTCATAACCAGGCATACATTTTCACCTCATGGTATGGCTTCAGCGCTAAGGCTGGTGTCAGAGTCTGCGATCAGTTGCAGATTTCGCGCGAATCGCAAAAATTGCAAGTGCCCATTTGAACATTTGAAACACTGAATATGAAACAAGTAGAATCATGAACAGTCGTCATTCAGCCATCACCATCAAGCAGAAATGGCGGCGGGATTGGAGAGCACCTTGCAGTATTGATCGGGCACTTGTGATTTCTGTGATCCGTCGCGCGAATCTCGCGAATAGGTGCCAGAGTTCGCGATCCGTCGCGCGAGTTTCTCGAATTAATGGCTTCCCTTCAGTCGTGATAGAGTTCATAGTGGAAACCATTTCTTGTCCCTGTTGAATACGGAGGACAGATGATGATGAATCCTTTTAGCAATAAGACGTTGACGATAACGCGATTTTTCCGTGTCTGGCATTCGGGACCGCTCCTTGACTCCTTTTTTTGAAAATGAGTTGTTGGTATAGGTGCATCCCTTCTCTGAGACGAACTTATACTAACGACTATGCCAAAAGTGTTGGAACTAAATGCAGAAACTGTTGACATTTCGATTGTCTCAAACCCTCAGTGCCTGCCTTTGAACCACCGGAATCTCCTCATTCGGCCCAGGAGGTGTGCTATGTAGACTTCACGTATGAGATCAAAAGTACTCATTTGACTGCAAGGGTTACAGAATTTTATAGGAGGATAAACCGTAGAATTTGCTCCGTTTTTTGAAGAAAAATAACATTAATAATTTTGTAATACGAGTAGAAAGTTTCAAAAAGTCCACTCTGATCCATGTTGACCTGGAGTTCCTGCAACGAAGAAAGCTACGCGCTGGCTGCACAGCAATGATTAAGCTT